AATGGGCTACTATCTATATTTCAAACCCCTAAGTGATAAGGGGTGTCCAAAAACTGGGCGTGTGTTTTTTGTTTTTATTTTTCTATGATACAGCATACAAAAATACATAGAACCCTAAATTTTCATCTACTCTTTACGATCAACCCCTTTTTTTGAAGTGAAACTTCTTTATCGAGGTTGGAAAAAAATTTAGTGTAAAATTTTTTCGTTACGCGTCACATTTTTCGGTTACGCGCCATGTTGCTTTTTGAAGTCAAACTTCTTTATCGGCGTTGGAATGAAACTTCTTTATCGACGTATGGGAGAAATTTTGTAGCAAATCTTCACGTTTTTCAATGATAGTAATAATTCTATTACAATTCATGAAATTCTATAATAATCTTTGTAGTAATAAGGTAAAATGAAATATTTGTATTCATGTCTATGATAATAAAAGCCTTTTGTTAAACTTTATCTAATTTAACGAATTTCTGTAAAGTTGCATATAGTAGATAATTTTTCGAAAAATAAGATCATAAAGAAGTTTCACTTCTTACGTGTGTACACCTAGTACACGCACAATTTATTATTTTTATTTGTTAGTAATGAACTTATAACTTGAACTCTGAGGTTTATATAGAGAAAAATCACAGAAAAATCTAAAAAGTTTTCATTCCGGAAAACCGGAAAAGTGGGTATGTACTAAAAGTTGGATGAAGTTCGCGGGGGCATCTAGTGTTAATATTACATAACATAAAAACTTGTAATACAGCCTTGCGATTCTGTAACTCACTTTTCGAACTCACACAGCGGTTTTCACAGCGGCGGTCGCGCTCAAATCAGTATTAAAGCTATCATTTTACGATTTGGCATTCTGATAAACAATAAACTACAAGCTCTATCCTTAAATCCTTCGATTTAAATTTCGTTACAAAGCAAAACAAGTAGCTGTAAAACAAGGGTTTAAATAATTATGGTCGTGGAGACCGCATATTATGTGTGGTCGGTGAGAAATGTGCTGCAGTGTGCTTAATACAACCAAGCTATGGTTGAATGTAAGGGTAGAAATACCATTTTAATTAAAATAAATTTATAAAGCAATAACGCTTTGTTTACGCTTAGATGTGATAGCTATTTTTTTATACACTAAACTTATTATCTAATTATTCTATGTGATTGTATCTTTTTATAAATGAAAATTTACTATTAATTTAACTTCTTTTCTGACGTTCATAAGTGTACTTGTTTACCTATATGAATAAAGATATTTTGAGTACAGTTAGCATGTATCAGGAACTCTCGCCGGTAAAGGCCTGCTCCAAGGCTTGCTCTTTCTCTATCTTTGTATCCATTGGGGACTCGCGACTTTTTTGATGCCACCATCCCGAGTCTGTAGCGTTTGCCTGGTGGGCCTCTTCACCTAGTTACTGTTTTCATCCTCTTGCGATGAAATGTGATATCTAATTGGGTGTTAACACTTTTGTTTTTTTCAATTTATATTAATTGATTGTTTATAATTTTATATTAATTTTCCTTTTAAAAAGATATTATGTTAAGGCAACCAGTTTCGATTAAATAATAATAATTAATTTGCAAGAATATGGTACAAACATGATAGTGCAATATAAAGTTTGCATATTCTGCCACACATAATGACGTGCAAATTTTGGCTTAAAAGGAATTTTACATAGAAGTTAAAAACATTACGAGTTATATCATTATAGTCAATTCTTAAGTTATGTGTAGTTATAAAATTTTACATTCATCACATTAAAATATATTATTGCGTTATCAAATTAATATTGTTTTAAAATAAGTGTCGTTTGATGATTTGCTGTTTTAAAAGAGTACCGAGAGTTTTTTACGCCGGCTTTTTCTCTCGGCCTACACCCTCTGTCTTCTTTGCCGATGAGTAGGGATGCCTACAAATTCAAATTTAATGACGTGGACTAAGTGATACATGCATCTTATGTTACATAATAAACATATTTTTTTAAATGAATTATAATGATTTACGCAAATAACCTAATCATATACAAATGGAACTATCTCCTCCGATCAGCATGACGCTAAAAACCGCCTTTATTTCCGTTAACATTTAACATTATTTACATCATTTATATTTATTTATTTTAATTTTAAAACGTGTTCGTAACATACGCGTCGTTGTTGATTACAGGGCGGGCGGTAATCGGCCCGGTCCCATTACTCAATGTATATTCCTACTAATATTCCATCCTACCTTGAAAAACAAGCCTTTTTGTAAAAATTCAACAAACATTGCAAAAAGCAACTTTGCGGCATTAGATGTCGTTAATATGACGTTTAGGTTCTAATTGTACGAGGCAAGTCTGTACATTTTGCTCACTCAGGCTTTCTTAATTTTATAAGCATGATCATTTCCTATGTATGCACGTGCCCTGGCTGTACATTTTGATCATTTATAAGCGTACTGATTTCCTAAATCGTCGGAATTACACCCCGAAAGCATAGCCAGACGTAGGCACTCTCTTTGACTGTTAAATTGCATTCATTCGTTACATAGCAATTGACATTTCATTATTTCGCTCATATTCTATTGTTATACGCGAGTGGTTACTATAGAGTAAAACAAGAGTCTTCTATTATTTTAAGGACCCGATGACCGAAGAACCGTACTACCGTACTAATCATAATATCACTTAGCTATATGTCATCTTGTTCGCAGTCTCTTGTCAAACTAAACGGATCTAGACCCAAAACTTCTACTGAATTGAAGTATTAGCTTGCACACAAGCAAAGGTGTTACGTAAGTCGCTCAACTTAAATGAGTTGCAGAGAATATCCGGCGATCAATGAAACTCCCTCTCACTCGATCTTGATTTAAATTTCTTACAATATCTACGTATATACTAGTACATAGTATAGATATATTAATTTACTGTTAACTGCTTTCTAATGTGTAACTGATAGTATAGGAATAATGTTACGAGGCTCATTTGTAGGGGTAATTCAAGTGAACATTAATCAAAACTGTATGGTCATATCGTGAAGGATGACTTCACTACGTGTTTTCGTTTAGACTGAATATATTATGTTTATTTAAATTTTTAAAACTCTTCAGAATAAATTTTGGTCTCAATAACAGGTGATCTAGATTTCGATCAAGAACATAGAAGTGCACTTAAAGTGGCTCTAGCGTGCGACTCTCAACTCTGAGGTCGTGGATTCGAACCACAGCTGGGCACCAATAGATTTATCTTTCTTTTTGTGCAATACGGTGAAGGCAAATATTATAAGGAAACCGGGATATGTTATAAACCCAAAAGCTTTTTTTTAGGGAAGACACACACACACGCCTTCCGCCTCGTGGTGTTTCGTTATAGGGTCTCGTGTACAAGAAAACAATAAAACAGACGCTTGCAAAACTTCATACATAGTAAATAGACTCTAATCATCGTGAAATTACACTGTGAACCGTAAATTCAACGTGCATTAAACTTTAAAGCATATTTTCTAGTTTGAAACAATTTTCCTGTAATGGATCATTAACAAAGAAACAACACGCAGTGTTCCGAGTATCATGGCTTGAAACTGCTTTGCACATGCAAAGCACTCATTTTAGACTCTTCTAGATGTAGTGCTGATAGGATGGAGTGGGCTATGTTGAAGGATTTAGCGAATTTCATTCAAAATTTTCAATGTGTTTTATTAACTTCCAATGAGACAAAACATGCGTCCAATTCGCCGGCCATTTTTCTTTGCGTATGCTTCGTGCGACTTATTGAAGGTCAACTACTCCCTTACTCCCTCAGGCAGTTAAAAAATATAGAAAAAATAGTAGCGGCCCCATCTCTAATAATTGATATTGATATATTTTACAACAACCTTCCAACTTACCGTAACTTTGTTTAGCACGCTCTTAATGAGGTTTAAGTTTCTATTTAGTTTTAGTTATTATTTTCGTTTTTTGCGGTTGCTTGTTGAATTTTTTCCCTTGCTTGCTTTTGTTCTAATATAATTTATGTATAACTTTATAAATACACGTTGTTTTAGAACTTATATATAAATAAATACATTATATTGCGGGGTCGATTTTAATTATATTAAAAACGTACATTATTACGTTTTTATCCCTACTCTTATTATCTCTTTCGACTCGTTCTGGCAAATTGTGCTTACACTGTAACGAAAAGAGACAGTCTCTTTTACTTTACAAAGAAATACAAATAAATGACCTACCCGCTTTTAGCACAACACTCAAGCCCATTTTATCGACACTAAGGTAGATCAAAATGAATACTTTGTAAATCCATTTTGCGAGCGAATAGCAGGCGTATAGTTTATATTCAAAGCGGTAAAATGCTGGCACAATCTTCCTGGTTGGCAATATTTCTTCACGATGCTCTATATTGCAAATTCGATAATGCTATGAATACGGCAACTGACGTTTATTGCAGAAGTGAACACTGTGTTGGTACTTAAATTGTTGCTTATAGTCGTAAACTATCTTGGCTGTCTAGATTTAAAGTCGCTGGCTTTGTGTGGTGAAAACTATCTTAGTTAACGATTTTAATTCCAGAAAGAATAATTGTTAATACTAGGGGTTCAAGTCAGTAACATAGCTAGCGGTTTTTTCAGAGTGGCATGTACAGCTTGGACTAAGTAATAACTGACACTGACATGATTATTATTATAGTCTCTTTATTTCCATAATGAATAATATATTAAAGAAGTATATCATATGATTAATTATTACATAATATGTGCATGTATTAAATAAAAAACTATTAATAATCTTTAAATTTAAATTCCAATCATATTTAATAATTACAATGTAGGTATATAAATTTTAAATGATAAATACATTAAAAATAATCAAAATCAAAATTCATTTTTATAAATTATAAATTTAATATTAAATAATAAATTACTGACATGATCTCTCAAACTGAACGAGAGCGTAAAATGAAATACAATATTTTTTGTTAAAATTTTTAATCTTTAAATATAACAAGTGTGTTCGTTTGAATTTAGCAATTTTAAATTATTCCCAACTCAACGAAATCATCCACAATACCTTGAATCCTGTCTCTCATTATTTTATCCACTCTTATCGAGACGACCATTAAATCGTCATTTCCATCGCGTGTGTCCTCCTCTGATATATAGAAAAACGGATAAAAATACAAGGAAAACATCAAAGCGTAGTCTAAGCACTCGTTGAAACATTTGTCGAATGTTTCCTTTGGGTATACGTTTTGTACAGTCATGTCGAAATTGCTAAGAAATTCGCTAAAAGCGCTATAGTAGAATTCTTTCAGGTGATGGAGATGTTGCTTTCTGAAAGGCCTGTCGCTTGATGCGTATATAAAGTAAATTAGATCGATGATTGGATTCCCATAATAAATTTGCTGGTAGTCGATTGGTAGAACGTCAATTAGTTTTCCATTCTGAAAGAAATATATAAAGGTGTAATTCAGATATATTATCGCCGACGATTTTATTAGTTATTAATTACACTTTTCTATCCTGGATGTGATGGGTTTAGTTATGTAATTATTATTGTTTATTTGAGTTTTAAGACGATAAATTTCACGATGTCAATCATTCATTAAGTATTAATTGTTATCAAAAGTATTAAAACAATATCTTCTGTTTCCAGATAAAGCAAGAAAAGGTAGCGCTTTGATTAAAACGTTTTGAAGTGATAAAGCGCGTTATTAGGAAAATATACAAATGTATAGTTTTCAAATGATTAATAGGGTTATTTGTTTTAATTAAACTACTACAGTGTTTTACTGTAAGCACTGTAGGACTGAATTATATTTGAATTAAGAAATTATATATAACGTAGGAAATATTATATTATATTATTTAACTATAATATTTATGCGTCAGAAAACATATATACAGCACATTTTAAAACAAAGGTAAAATATTAATGTTGTATCTCTTTTATATTAAATATGTTTTAAATGACATAGACGCGAATTAATTAAATTATTTTTAAAGAAAAAAAACGCAAAACCTCGAGTTGTGTAAAAATCTTTATATGTATAATTCTTCTGTGAGTGTGTATGTCACTGAACTTCTCTCAAACGACTGGACCGATTTTGATGAAATTTTTTGTGTGTGTTCAAGGGGATCTGGGAATGGTTTAGATTCACAAATCAGCCCGGCAGATGGCACTGCAGTCGGTACTTTCATACTTTGCTTAATATCCTAATCGCTTTAAATATCATGCAGGACAACGTCTGTGGGGTCCACTAGTAGTATATAATTGTGTTGAGTTAATCATTTTTAAAACTCATCTAAAATTCAGTCTAATCAAAAAGCCTTGTACTAGTTTTCGTTTTGCATCGTATTTGCTCCATTAGTGCGTAATATCGTCAACGATTTGGAACAATACTATTTGAGCAAATTCATCAGTTGTGTTTGCTCGTCGATAATTGGATTTTACCAACAATAGTTTATTGCAATCGAATTTATGTTCACAGTTTTTTAATTATTATTTTTGGGCCTACGGAGAAGCAATATTTCAAATTTGAAATCTAAAACGATGTTCGACTAAATTCTTTACAGGTGAAATAACATTAGTCTACTCCTCCCTCAAAGGCCGGCAACGCACCCACTAAAAGTAGGTGTCTATGGGCTGCGTAGACTGCCCTTTTTGGTCGTCCCACAAGCTCGTTTGCCCCCCCTATCATATAAAAAAATACAATTATGGTAAAATTATTATCTAAACAATTTTAGGGAAAATATTCTATTACTTGACTAGTACTTGACTGGTAACCAAGTACACTTATGAACGTCAACAAAATAGATGTTTAATTGATTCTAAATTTACATTTACTACTAGTTCGTTAGTCAAGGGCGTACAGCGGGCAAGAAGAACTGGCAAGAAACTCTTCGTCGCTCTTTTTAATCGCCAAGTTTTAAGTCATAGAAATTGTTTGAACGAGAGCAAATCGATCCTAAGGATTAGGATCATTAAAATAATCGCCAAATTTATAAAAAGCTTTATTGATTTTTTACGTTTAACGAGAGTTTGGAATTTATTCAGTGATAATTCTCTCAGTGACTGGTCAGCAATCGAGTATCGAGCAATCTCCTATCCATCATTAATTTTTTTTTGAGTTTTATTAAAGCAGCTTGCAGTATCATGTTTGTAGCTAACAAAAACTTCCACGCATTAAGAATAATCACATTTTATCCTTTAAAAAAGCTATGAAAAGAATGTTAAGACGTCGTCAACTCGCAAACAAGTCAAAGTTGGGGTGATAAAAGTATTGTTTTGCAATGAAAACTTCTGAAGCGTTCACTGAACTCAGAGAAAAAGTTGGGTCGTCATTATGCCACTGATTACATGTCCTGATGATATCTTGAGAATTTCTTGTGACAAAAGACAAGATTTGTAAATGGTAATTCTTTTTATCTTTTATATTATTTGAGTCATTTTCAACATGTACTAATCGGTTATTCTGTAAAACCTTTTGTAAATAATTAACAATTAACTTGTTGTTAATTAATAACACTCTAACGAAACTCTAATGATGGAGCCGAATTTCGATGTAGTTCTTTTAAAATGTGCAGCACTGCCGTCGCTTTAAATTACGTGGTACGAAAACCTAATATTAGGTTCGAAATCGCTAATGAAGTGACGTGGTAAGCTTACTGATCGAAATACTTTGTGTTGTATTTATGATAAAGATTAATTTTAACGAGTTTTTTTTATAAAATTGACATTTCACCCTTCGTTTTAGTTTAGTTAATATCTGTCTAATAAGTTTAAGTATAAGTAGGTATTATACTTCGGTCCTGATTAATTAAAAAAAATATAGTTTAGTACATTAACAAACTTACCTCTTCTTTAATCATGACATTATTCATTTTATAATCGCCATGACATAAGCATTTGATAGAACAATTTCCACCTGTCATATACTGTGGATACTTAACTAAGGAAAGTGTAATAAATTGCCTGACTCGCTCTTTATCGCTTTCTTTTAACTCAGCAATAGACACATCACACATTTTCTTAACAAGTACGTTCCAGTATTCGTCATAAACAAACGATTGTTTAATGGTCTTTATTTTAGTCTCGAAGTATCCGGGTCTTTGTTTCTCCAAAACAAACGACAAGGCATGGAATTTCGCAAGTTCCTTTAAAGACCTTTCTCCAAAGTCAAGCGAAGTCAGGTCAAATCTTTCTTTCTGTTTATACCCTCGTTTTGTTATATTTTCCAAAATGATTGCGTTAACATTTGTCTCTTTATAACTTTTGGGGAATTTAAATTTAATATGCGACGGGATTTTGGTTAATTTTTGAATTTCTGTATAAATATCACTAAGTTCATTGTAAATAAATGCTTCCTTTTCATAAACTTCCTGTATAGAATACACTTTAAAGTCTTCGTTATTTATAATCTTTTTAACAAATATATTTGTTTCTTTATCGGCGCTTGTCACATCAATCTCAAATAATTCACCCATAAAGTTATTACCGCCAGTAGAAATATTCCTCACAAAAACATCGTGTTTGGCGTGTCCTTCCGCTTCAATAACGTTGTTTATACACTGTTTTACGTTTGTAGGCAGGTCGTCCAAAGTTTTCTTTTTGTTTTCCATAGTTTGGAACACACAATCTTTTATACACTGTTTACTTTGAATTAATTATTATCAAACTTATTTTAACACTCGTGGCAACAGTAATGTAGGTAAATATTTATCGGGAATATCTCTGATAAAAGAGTACGCCACGCCAATCACGTGGGAAACAACTGACGCGCGTCACTAACCTCTGTTCAACTGATAATTATAACGTCATCGTAAAATAACACGTATGGCTACGAGAATACAATTTCGTTTCCAACGCCATTTGAATTTTAGTTGTTCATATGCACAGATTACTATAAACAGGTTCTGACTGCGTATTTGACATTGGCTAAAGTTGGAATACTAACATTCTGTAAACATGAAATTTAGTTGCTGATTTCATTTTCAATTTTACGTATATGATATAAATTTAGTGCGATTCTTAAATTAAGTTTTTGAGAAAACTGATTGTGTACTTACAAAAAATCTTTTGTTCCAAAGAATAATAAATACTATTATTATATTAAGGAAGTATTGATAGAAAAAAGTGTCTGGTTAGTTTTTCAAGTAGGTCAGCCTTCTGACCTGATATGAGCCGTTGAGTTTTTAGGTCTAATACTGGATTCCTCGCGATGTTTTCACCTTAGGAACGTATAGTTAACACTAGACTGCTTACAAAGAAGCCAAACTCCATTGCTGTTTAGCCGGGGTTCGAACCTTCGACCTCAGAGATGAGAGTCGCACGGTCAAGGTACTAGGCCAACTGCTGGCTGCACAAGCGCAAGTAGTAGTAAGTGGTAGCTAGCCTAGTGGATTTATGGAAGAAAAATAGTTCTTTCATGTTATCTCGACCTTAACGCCCTAAGTTTGAATACATAATATGCATCATTTGTTTTTTCATCGTACGATAATGGATACAGCCTAATACAGAGACAATTTTCCTAGCACTTAGCATGACTGCCCCAGGTCGGATGTAATGTTTTTGGTCCAACTCATTTGTTTATAAAGAATAATATACGTTTTTATAGTCGTTTTGTGTTTAGGTTTGAACGAAAATTATTCTTTCAAAGGGCATGTCATGTATTAATATCAAAACAAATTGAATATGTAGGTTTTGGGAGTGGTATTGTAGTACACAAAGCAACATCGTAAAATCTATTAGACAGCGGCGTTACCTCGGGGCATCGAGCATTGAATTGCCTTGCCCTTTGTGTACTTGCGGTCCCGTGTTTACGTATTTAGGAACGATCGAAATACAATACGTGTTTTCTTAGCAAATCTCCTGGGGTTCAACGATTCCGACTATAGATATAAGATCAAGATATATTTTGCTACGGTCTGTTATAATAAAACTCGTCGTGCCACTTCTCAAAAGAAAATGTTATTTTCTCAGCTTGTTCGAGTTCAAGAAGCCACTGAAAAGATCAGTGGCTTCTTGAACTCGTTAAAAAGTGATCATGTAAATGATATTACGTTAAATTATTTACACTTTACCGATATTTTTTATCGCTTACCTTCTGATTTCATGCATTTCCAAAGGCATACTTCCGTCTCTGACGGAACTTTATCGTGAACAGAATTTTATAAATAAATCCATGAAGTATCCATAATTATTGGAGTTTACTCCTTAAGAAACGATTTGAGTTATAAGGCCAGGTACGGAAATTTTATGAGGAGTAAAATCAAGTGTAACACGAAAAGTTGAGGCGTTATGTAGAAAGAGACAAACATATAGAGTTTACTCCTTAAGAAACGATTTGAGTTATAAGGCCCGGTACGGAAATTTTATGAGGAGTAAAATCAAGTGTAACACGAAAAGTTGAGGCGTTATGTAGAAACACGAAAAGTTGAGGCGTTATGTAGAAAGAGACAAACATATATATCTGTAGGATTGAACGTGTAAAAGAATGAGATGGAATACATTACATAGACTTTTCTATTTTGAATTCACGTTTTGACAGCCACGTTACAACATTGTCAGTGTTGACAGGTGTAAAAAATAAAAGTAGATTGTCTAGCGTGCCATAGAGTTTTGTCAATAGTAATGGTTAGTGAAATTAAAACTAAAAAGATTGTTCATTCTTATTTTTCTCTTACTATAAAGGTAACTTTGGTCACAGAAAGAAAATCCTATTCTTACCACCTTTAGTATGAAAATATGGTCGACAGCCACAGAACATTATCGCCATTTTATCGTTCGTAAGGAGTAAACTCCAATCGTGCGTCGTAGCTGACACACACACACTTTTTTTTATTAGATTATCTCTAGCTAGTTTTAGTTAAGTGTGAGTTTAAGTTTTTAAATAAAATCACAACTTATTGATTAAATATATATTTCTGCAACATGAGTCATAAAAGCTATTAGTTCTGATTATGTTTTTGATTTTTAAATCGTTTATACTCTTCATATAAACCCGCCATCCTTTCTGGGAATCTTTTACCAACACAAATGTCTTGTGTTAACAGATCACTGCCGGGTTCTAGCACTATAGATTCAGCGAAAATTACCGGTAAAATAGCAAATGAACAAAAAAATCCAAAGTCTCGCATAAATTCATAATCTTTCTCAAAAACTTTATTTGGAAAGACGTCTTCTATATCTATGTCGTAATAACTTAGAAAATCATTCATCGTAGCACGATATAGATCTTTTAGATCTCTTTCGTGGTTTTCTCTGAATTGTGTGTCACCGGAAGTGTACATAAAGTAAATGAGATCTGTGACTGGGGGACCGTAGAATATTAGTTGGTAGTCGATTGGAAGAACTTCTGTTGTTTCACCATCCTAAAAGTACAACGTGATATATAAGGGCTAATTATTATCAATACCGTTTAGTGCTTCAGTTTCTTAATGTTTGTTGAATTTATTAATTTGACTCTAGGTAAAATAATTACTGTTACAGATGGACTCATGTTATATAAGCTGATAAGATCCTTTAAAAATGTCTTTGCAACACTCGGGAATTTAATAAAAGTTATTTAATGGATATAAACGAGAACTTTTATATAATTTAATTCAATATATAATATTATGTTTAATATAATACATGTGTTATGTAGTAAATTCGCGATTATATCAGTTGAACAAGTTGTTCGCGGGGCAACTGAAATGTAAGTCATTAATGGGTCTGCCCCAATAGAATGTTGCAGATTTTACATAATTATACCCTTAGTAAAATAGCCCTAAAATGAGCACATTCTATAAATAATACGGTTAAAAACTTGTAGATCATACTTACTTCTTCTTTACCCAGTATATTGTTCAGTCTATAATCGCCGTGGCAAAGACAGTTTGCAGAAGTAACAGCTTCATTTAAATACTTAAAAAAAGTATCAATTAGACCAGGTAAGTCGTTCATAATTTCTTTTCTTATGTCTTCATCATAGTGACTGACCGCCGCTTTAGTACATTTAGTGCAAACTTCAATATATTTATCAGTCAAATGTAATACAGATTTTAAGTTTCGTATTTTATTTTCAAAGTATTCCGGCATCTTCTTCTTTATAACAAAACTTAGTGAATGAAATTTTGCGATTTGCTGAATTGATAACTGAGCAAATTTAAGATCTGCGATCTCCTTCCGGTATGGAGTTTTAAATCCTTTCTTGGCCAGATTTTCCATAATTATTGCTTCCACACCGGATTCTGGCCAACATTTTACATTTCTAAATCTTTCATTTGTTGGGATATTAGCTTCATTTTGTAGCTTATCCAAAATAATCGAAACGTCTGTATAGAAGAAGACTTCTTTCAAGTAAGCCTCCTCAATATCGATAAAACCGTATAAATTGTCAGCACATACAGTTTGTTTTACAAACAAATTTATTTTCTTTTTACCATTTGGAGCCTCATCTAAGATATCAATTTCATATAGGTTCGCCAAATAGTTGCCACCGTCAGGTTCAAGAGCTTTTACTTTCACTATGTATTTTGTAAACTCTTCGTCTTCTATAATTTTTTTAATAGCATTTTTAACACAAGGGTGGAGGTTGTCTTCAGCTTTGTTAGTTACTTTCTCCTGACTGCTAAATTTTTCAACATTGTATGTTTGTTCGTCAATTTGCATTTTGAAAAGACTTATCAAAGATACAACCAGAAATTATTTAATCGCAAGGTGCAACTGAATATATATGTAATTTTCAGAGATAACTTGTAGTTTACATTGTTTTACTAAATATTTGTTTAATTCATTATCTTACACAATGTTGAATATACTTAATTGTTAATTTGAAGACGGAATTCCATCAACTTTTTCTAAAACAACTATTTATCGAGTTGATAAAAAATCTCTATTAGTACTAATTAGTAAAATTTTATTTTAACAACACTGTTATAGGTACATTAATTGTTGGTACACAATACCTTTCTAGACTATTTTAAAGTTTAAAAAGTTATCCGCGGGTTCTTCGACTGCTTTTCAATCAGGCTTTGCATTTACTGGACTAACATTGTGATTTATATTAAATTTGTAAAAAAAGTAAAGTATTAAAGTAATAAGATTTTGCTGGTACGGTGAAGGTACATCGTGGAAATCTGCAAGTTTCTCAATACTGAAGAAGACACTTTTAGGCACAGGTCTGTAAGGTTATTTATTTATGATTATTTTAAGTCATAACTAAAATTTTCTTCCCGAATACTTTACGGACCTATCTGGTCGCCAAACTCCAAAAAAGTACATTGTTTCTTTCCATTTTTCGTCATCGTTTCTTGAAGTAGGGCGAATGGAAAAATGTATGGTGGAGTTGAGTAGTTTATGTATCCATTTTGAAAGATCTATACACGATTTAAATAATTTCGCTTGATAGAAAAAAAATCCAAACATAGGCAATTTTTGACACTTTGAATTCATTTTATGACGAAAATGTTATAGAACATGATTTTGAAATTTACACGATATATTTTATCACAAGCCAAGTAATCCATTTCAGAAAAACAAATTAATAGAATTACATAAATTTAATGTTTTACATAATTAATTGTTATTACGGGCCGGCGCGCCTCAGTGCTCCAGCTCTCCACTGCGCCTCGCAGTCCACCCCGAGACACAGCAATTCGTGCTGGGATAGGGCCTTAAAGTCATATATCATAGAAGAAATATTTGTAGTTTTGTATGTTTGTAACGAATATCTCTAAAGGAGCCACTAAAAAAATCCTTTCACCATTTAAATATAACATAATACCAGAGTAACTGTTCACCGTGTGAAGACGGGACAAGACGCTAGTTTTGAAATAAATTCTTAGGTATTATATAGGTAGGTGAGGTATTGAGATAAGTGCATTTATATAATTTTGTTACCCCTATATACTATGTACATAAAAATTCCACAACTACAAATATTTATTTACTTTTGTTTGTAAATAGAACATCATCGTCACTGTGATATAACAATTTTATTTATCATTTATCTTGTTCACACGAATCTTTAAAACCTACAAATATTTTGTAGGAATATTGGCTTTCTACGCCGCGGACTTTGTTGCCATCCATTAATCTAATATTATTAGGAATGACTATGCTTAAAAGAATAATATTAGAATAAACTAAATGAGATGCCTTTTCATAATCCCTTACCTGATTCCAGGTATTGTTACATCTTGAGTGGTAATTTTAGTGGTTACCTTGCTGTCTCTTCTAATCATTTGATTTCTGATTAAAATAAATTTAATTATTATACATGACTTCCTTTGCAAGTAAGTATACTTTTAGTCATATGCTGAAATATATATTTATTTATATCAAAATACCAATACCATAATGCTATGAGCCCTATTAATTACTAAATGCCACTGGTTCTACGTTGTCAAATTATGCACACTCGGAGTAATGGAGACCGTGGGACACTTTAGCATAAGTTACTTAGAATTTAGATGTAATCTCGACATGTGTCACCAAACGTGCGCAGCATCGAACTGTCACATTTCGTTATATATCACAAATTTCATAATTTTTGAGACCTTCGGCGGCAACCAACATAACTCTTATATACGGTATGTAATATGTATATTATGGCTAACATGGCATGGAGCAGACAAATTTCTACGTCTCTTAGTGATAATTATTTTTAATTCTCGTAGGTGCCTTCTGTGCATGAAACACATTTTTGAGCCCTTGACATGTCAGCCAGTCCGTACAAGAAAAATACATACACTTAGAAGGAACAATCAAATATGACACTGCTGCGGTCGAATGCGACCTTTGGTTTAAGAATTCTATATATAACCACTAGTTAATTATAAATATACCATATTTTCTGGGTTAAAATGAAACAACTGAAAATCACTACGTAGGTTTAAAGTTCCTGCCTACACTGCCTTTAAAATCCTTGTACAAAATCTGTTCATAATCGGATATTTAAACCTCAAATTAGATAGCAAACTTTTCACTTATAATCAAAATGCCAAAGTGTTCATTATAAAAGAAATGTTTCTGAACATATTATTAAGATTTCTTTTGTTCCCAACCAGGGTGAAATAAAATAGTACATTCGCTAAGAGACAATAGACTTGTTTCATCTATAAAGTGGGCTCCTATCACACGGATACGAACGGATGCTTTTGGGGATACGGTAGACAATGCGATCAATGCGACAGCGAATTACCGATTCAATAATACATCGGAGGTTGGGATAGCACTTTCTTCCACTTCTACATAGTGTATTACACCTGTAAAAATACAAAATTCACTATCAAAATACAATTAATTAATTACGTAAAACGAACGCAACTCAAATAAATAATTAATTGCATTAAAGATAAAAACTTGTTTGTCGTGAGAGAAAAAGCAAATCACGTTAACAGTTTATTTCCATACAACTTTTAAACCGAAGTCTGTTCATCATTATCAAAGAGACGATTCCAAGAAAGTACGTTATTACTAAAGTATATTATAGTATAGTAGTAATTATATATTTTTGGCAGGTACGACCCCTGCCAGATATATATAATATGTATATAAATTGTTAGGTCTTAGGCGAGGTGAAATCTGAAATATAGGATTTGGAAATAATGAATATGATCGAGATAAACCGTTTTTTACCCTTAAAACTCAGGGTCGGTTCCAGAATCCAGACGTTGAAGTAAAAAAATAAGCCAAGAATTGTTAAGATTATTTGACAGTTATAGGTTTTTTAAGTTGTTTTGCTACGTCTCTTATATATTAACAAATAGTTAATAGACCAGTGCCGATAATTTTTGAAACCAAAAAAAATTACAGTAGGATGAAACCCATTAGAAAAGCAGGGGAATATGATCAAAATAATAGGAAAAATAAATTACGGTCGATCTGAGGTCGGGAAGGGGTAGGGGGGAGTTTTAAGGGTAAAAAACGGTTTATCTCGATTTCCGGCAAAACTAAAAGTCCTATCGAAGAAAGTTAAATGGCAAAGTTGTAGGTAAAAATTCACATAACCTCAAAATTTATGTGAAAAATTCAAAAAACCAAGTTTTTGGTTTTTAATTTTTATCTTTTACAAATTTCTTTTTTTTTAACGAAATTTGGTGAAAACTTACCTTATTATGTCCCAAATATACTGTAATGTATTTGATTAAAAATATTTATTTTTTCACCTTCTCAGAAAATGCAAAATGCAAATGCAGTAGGGAAGGGTATGACGGGTCTGGGCGTTACTGCATACGATGTTTTGCATTTTCTGAGAAGATTTACTATGGTAATATATATATATTTTTTACCATAGGAAAGTAGAGATTTCAACAAACTGAAAGCACACCAACTTTTTGAAAAAAACTGAAATTTTGACGTCAGAATTTTCGATTGAAAATTAGGTGTTTTTTCGATATTAATTCAAAATAAGATCCCTTCCCGACCTCAGATCGACCGTAATTTATTTTTCCTATTATTTTGATCATATTCCCCTGCTTTTCTAATGGGTTTCATCCTACTGTAATTTTTTTCACTTTTTATTTATTTTGAAGGCTATCTGCACTGGTCTATAATCCCACTATTTGTATAAAATGTCACATTTATCAGTGAAAGTATTTATTAATTTTGATAACATTGTCGTATTATTTACTTTTGATTTTATCGAATTATTACACTTGAAATGTAACATAATGTTTGACATTAAATATAAACTAGATATTATCATGCAAAATATATTTCCAGAGTATTTATTTGTACTGTTATAATTTAAATCATGATTCATCCTTACGTTGGATCTGTTACTACGGAAGTCTTATAAAGAACAGGGACATCCTAAATAAGCGCGTGTGAATTTTCAGATAATTTTATAAAACAAAAACGACTATTAAAAATCACGACGATTATTTCTTTGGAGATCGAGACATTACGGTGTGACAGAGGACCGCCTCGCACCGCTACCTCGACCTTGGTCGGATCGACCGCGGCCGCTTGCAAACGTTAGGGGACATTTCGCTCTTACCCAATACAAAACCGTACCGTAACCGTTTAATACAAATTGTTACAACTAAATTTAATCTAAGGCTCAAAAAGTTAATACTCTTATATAATTGATATTGCAATTTGTTATAATGTTCTATTTCGCTAAGGGTAGATGTTAGTGATGCTTAGTTAAGCAAAGGGCGTTCGTGTCGGTTCTCTGCTGCTCATAGGCCTCTCTCCTATATTTCGTGGCATAGAACGACTTAACCTATGTTAATTTGACACATGTGACTGCTATATTTGAGCGACATATGTGTATTTTTATAAATAATGTATAGAAAATTATAGTTTAAAACGAATTTAACCTGTAGTCACACTTTATTACGCAAAACTTCGGCCCTTTTTATAATTTTTATTTAAAAATAAGTTTCACTGATTATACACAAGTCAAGTATTAACTGACTTCATAAACTATGTAATGTAACGTTTAAATTATTTATTACATATAAATGTAGAAGTTTTGATTACTGTATTAAAATAAACAAACTTCATTGTAATGATACATTCAATTCAGTATGTGCTATCGAAGATGTATGTCTTGGACTAAAATCGATTTGTATAAAGGTCAGAGCAGGCGAGCCAGCGCTGAACAGTCAATTAGCTCCCATTCGGAGAACTTGTTAACATATTCAATGGTTCCGTGACTTGTCATTGCTTTAAGCGGTATTATAGAGCTTATGTGGATTGTTCACACACTAGTATTAGAACTTTGAACTACCTTTTGTCGCAAGAAAGGTAGGTACAAAATTGTATCGTGAATATAAAATAGAGAAAATTTTATGCCTTGCATTTATTAGTAACACTGTGACCAAAATATTTGTATTTATTTGCTGCAATGTAGCGTGCGTAAGTTCGAAATGCAATTGACGAAGAAATTTTTTTATTTTATTTTGTTGAATGTTCTGTAAATCAGATATCAATCATAAAATTATAAGATATATTTTAGATGTTTCTTTACATATGACTGCCTTTTTTCATCACCGTACGAGCCGTAGTAACTGCAGATTTCATCCGCATCACCTTGATGGATAAGTCTTCCATGGTCTGCTTCGCAAGACATTTTCTTTTGAGAACTAACGAACTGTGCAATTGACTCCTGGTTGAGGTATTACCTGGAGAAACGACCTCTAACTGTTTAAAAAAGAGCATACTCGTCCCTCAAAGTCCGGCAACGCACCCTCTAAATGGGTCTATGAGCTGCGATGACTGTCCATTATGGGCGTCCCGTAGACTATAAAAAACAATAACTGTATCTGTGTATAACAACTGAAGACTGTCATCGACTTCTTGTCGCAAAAGCAATCAATGGGATTGACCTGAAACCTGTCACAGACAGGTGAGACAGAACCTTAAGAGGATATATCTGGTTAGGTGCCCGAGATTTCTAAAAATATGTACACGCCTTAGAAGTTATGTTATTTGGCGTAACATAATGAAAATCTGTTCAAAACTTTTATTTTTCTCCTTATTCTACGTTTGTAGAAAAAACGTCACTAACAATAGAAAAAAGGTATTTAATACATTGAAATTTTTATTATAACGCATTATCTATTTAAATAGTTTATTTAAATTTCACAAAAAAAAATTCTACATAATTAAAGAAATGGAAATTTTATATTTTAATATGTTGACTATGCTAACTACAGGCTGTCGGTTTTTTGTGACGGTGTGCGAGTGTAAAAATTTACTCTTATCATTTTTCTTTAACGGACCAAAAGAAGTATAACTTAAAAAATACGAGACACAGTGATACTACGTACATCTCCAAGTATTAATCAATCAGCCTTAGCAAACATGTTTTCCATCTAGCCTTCAAAAATATTTTCTAAGAGACTAAAAGATTACTTTTGCGCTCGGCGGAGGCCGTGTTTTAATATTGAGGCTCACAAAATACTTGCATCGCCTTGCGATTCTTCAATAGTTCATTGAGATGTATGAAGAATTTGTTTGATTTTTATTTATTTTTCACATAATTATTCTACAGATATTCACATTTCTAGCCGTTTCACAAGAAGCACTAAATATAATGTTCACAATAGAAACGTACTCTCATATTTATAAAAATGATAGGCCTCATATTATTTATATTCCATATATAGTTCGTAAATTCAAACCCAGACCAATAATTTTAACTTTCCATGCGGTGGAGAAAACATCGTGAGGAATTAGATCCAAAAAATCAAGGGCGAGTGTCAGGCACAGAAGGCTGATCATCAACATGCTTATTAAATAAACATTACGAAACAGAAATCATAAATATAGCGCAAATGTTGTTCCGTAAATCAATATTTAATAAAGACTCAAAATTCTATTTATTTATAAGTTTAATTTCCGTGAGTTGTGCTTCATCAAAGAGTAATAACGCGCGAATGACCGCAATATAAACTGTTAATATCAATGAAGTTAAATACTGATTTAATGACCTGAAAGTTTTCAGTATGTTATTCCAGTGACTACGAAATGTGATAATTCAAAAACTAAAACAGACGAGTTTTTATATTTGGATAAACTCAAAAATATCGAAATATTAAACACACATTTATAACTAATTGACACAAAGTAATATTACTAATGATTTTACGTGGATTAATTTATACCGGCGGCGTTATATATTTAGATTAAAGATATTGTTTGAAACGTGCTAAACCTATTTTTTTAAACATACATATATGTTAATTAATTGTATTCTCAGAAAACTAATTTATTAATTAAGAATAAAAAGGGATTTCTTATCTCTACAAATCCGATTTAATTCGATTAGTATAAGTCAAAGCTTACTCGTTTTTCTTCTTTGTGCCGTTTCGTTTTAATTAATTTAAAGTTAAATATACTTGGAAAAGACAGTCTCAAAAGGAATTAAATAGATTTGCTAGTTAGACTGCCAATACAGGCTGCGATTTTGATTTGCCATTGTACCAATTATGAGGACAGACTAAGTTTTATGGCATATTATTGGAGGCACAAATAGCCCATGGCGCTGAAACTTTCCTATACTTGGCTAATTAAATATTTTTCTTGTTTCAGGCAAGCATGGCCGTGCAATAAGAATCATGAACTCAAAGCGTTCCATCCAACCCAAATACAATATGAACCGGTGTCCAATACACATTATATTACCTATTCTGACCATCATTCTCCCTTATATATCCACACTAAACCTTCCTAGTGGAGACCCTGCGCCAGGGAGATCGCCAGGACCCCCCTTTTCTGAGATCGAAGATTATGATGAAACAACAACCAGTGAAGTGACCACAGTGCAGGTGATAACTGACGCGTGTGAGTACGCCCGGATTTCGAGTGAAAGTGAGCAGATAGTGACACTGAGTGAGACGGAAAGTGATGTGAAATTGACAGTTAGCCACTCCGTTTTTGATACTGCAGAGCTGGTTCGTGGAGTTGTTTACGATGGTAAGTTTTTCCTTTATCTACGGATACTGCAGTTTTAAAATACATTGTTTATTAGGAATCATAACAGTCAAAAATAAAGTATTTACAATTTTCTTAACCTACACATTAATAGGTAATAATTAAAATTTAATAACAAGAAAATTATAATGGTGGCTGTACACACTCGGCGAGAGCTTCTCGCCGAGAGTCTCGACCGAGAGGACCGAGAGAAGAGCGCAGCCTGTACACACTCGTTACGTTATTTGTATTTAAAACACCGTTAATAATGGACGTGGAAACCGCTGCTGCTGTTTGTGTTTGTGCAATAAGTTATTATAATTTTCTTCACGTTTACCAGTAAAAAAAAAAAAGAAGCCATGACGAAGAAGAAGATGGTCACTATGCACCGCAACAGAAATTGGTAATTAGGATCATAAAGTTTTAATTCTATCCAAAATTGAGTGATTGAACGAGTGTGTACAGATCGCTCTCGTTTTACTCGCGAGACCCTTTGACTCGTGCGCAAAAAACCGACAGGCGACCGAGAGAGGCGAGACCAACTGCGAGGAAGCGAGACGAGACGAGAGCTCTATTGTACACTCTCGCACTCGGCCTGTCTCGGGGTGTCTCGACGAGTGTGTACAGCCACCATTACAAATTCCTCCCTGTGGCAGTGTACCTTTAATGCTGGCATTTTCTCGCTGTATTGCGATATTTAAATTGGGTGTGGAAAGCACCAGCTCTGGGGCCACCGGTACTATCTACCAGGCGCCAATTTAAATCTTTAATTAGCGCCTGTGCACTTGAACCCCACGGCCCAAGAGTCTCTACTCCAAAAGGAACAAAATAGAAGTTGGAGAAAGTACTATTATATTTGAGCCGTTTATTATTTTCCGTCTGCGCTGCGGCCGCCCCAGCTTAAGTTTTAAAGTTAGTTTTGTTTTTGCAAGTCAAAACTATTTTTTTAAGAACTTTATTTGTTATAAAAGATGTGAATAATATTAATATAAAGGTGGGTTTGTGAACAAACTTCTGTAAAGTTCTGGTAAAAAAAACACATTTATGAAATAATGATCAGACAAAGTTAATTTTTGTCAATGAATCAGTATCGCAACACAGCGAGGAAATGCTGCCAGCGTTAAAGGTATATTGCCACAGGGACGAAACATTTTAAGTTTGTTATAATTTTCTTTTTATTAATTTTATTATTACTATGTAAGTTAAGAATTAACTTATTAGAAATGATAAATTATGTTTAATATTAATTTGTTTTATTATTTTCAAGTAAAGTTAAGTAACGGGTATCAAAATTTTCCGCGTCACAGAAACTAGCGACAGCGTAATCAGCACAAATTAATGGCTTCATAAAACTTAAACTTCGACATCTCGGGTTGCTAACAAGTCTGGGTTTCGTGCAAAAATTCTTAAGTATCGCTTCGACGAACGACGAATACAAATGAGCTTAGGTGCGAGCCGATTACTGTTTTGTTTTTGTAACACAGGTTAACTCCCAATGGGGAAAAGAATATGTATTGATACATAAAGTTGTTCAATTGTGTATGTTAATTCTTTTATAGTACTTGTTTAGCAGTTGGATACAAAATTATTTAAATAGCTAAAGCTTTTTCTATACTTTTTTGTAGCTGATTTATGGTTTTATGAAAGTAATACAATAAATACAATATAAATATTAAATTCACGACTATCACCGAATTGCAATACTCAACGTTACTTTTCTTACTTTACAAAAAATAAATTTCTGAACGCACGCATTAATATTTGACAACCAATATATATGTCAATCCTTAAATTAAAAAGGAATTGAATTGAATTGAATTGTATTGAATTTTCTTTTTTTCTTTTATAAGTGTTATTCTATTTGGGACGAAGACAAATACAACAAATCAAAAACCATGAAAATCTATTAATTTCGAGTCGTTCTCGAGTTATAAGTGTACGAACAAACCCGACTATGTTTTATATATATAAGGATGTATATAAGAACATTTCTGTACAACAAGCTTTATAGACATTTATGTCTAGTTATCAATAAATAAGGTCTAATTTATCATGACGTCTTCGCACCTGAAACCATACTCCCATGAAGTAACCAAAAAATACCCAACGCGATCATCTGACCCAAGTCGGTCAGCGGTTGTGAGCCCTCGTGGCAATGGGACCTTTCAAAAGCCAGATAAGCTTCACTGACTGAAACTTTGTTGGAACTAACAAGGTTCTTGGTAGGCCCCTGTACACACGTTGTTAAATTATAGGTATTACTAGTAAGGCTATTTACATTGCACTATTAGCTAGTGAGTTTTAATAATACTCATAAGCCTACCATTAGCAAAAGAGCGTGAACCAGACGGAATATGAAATACGGTGCAATCTACACTGAATTGCTAATTTCAATCATAGTCATTACAATATTCATAGTTACTGACTGTTATGAATAGGCATAGCATGAAGTGAATTCATAAATACTTATAATACTATTTAAATGAATTAACTACTAACTGACTAATACTATTTAAATGAATTGGCTAAAGTTTACTGTTTTATTTCCTGCTGTGAATTAAATTCCGAACTGAATATCAATTTTCGTCACTTAATGTGCTTCTAAATTAACATTTACTGCCAGTTCTTAAATCAAGAACTAAGAACGAGAAGACCTGGCAATAAACTCACCGTCACCCTTTTAAAGAGCCAACAAAATGTTTGTAAGCATCATGCTCATCATACTATCTTGTGTCAATTACGTAAAAAATATTAATAAAAAAATTCATACCACATGGAATACGACTGCTTCCTCCATTAATTGAGTTGACCCTGAGACTGGAAAAGCACCAGAACATCAAGTCGTGTTACCAAATTTTCCAAGATTTTCACACCAAACAATAGATATTGATGAACTGGAGCAAATCATATAGGTTTAAAGAGTTTATTTCTCAAAAAGACAAAAAAATGTCACTTACATGAGAATAATACTCTAGATTAACATAACATTGAAGTCGTTCTTAAAATAATCACAATAAAATATAGCCGTACATGCAATAAACTTAAAAATAAAAGTGACCAAAGAAATATGAATTAAAAGTAATTCTGTCTAACATATTCACTGAACTTCGATTGGAATGAATTGATAGAAGTAAATAATAAAAACTTTATTGATGACAGAAAGGTTTGTGACAGAAATCATAAATCGCTAGTCCCCACACTAGGGAGGCCCTGTGTTGTGGGTAACTAGAAAACAATTGTTTCGTGGTACATGTTAAAATTAGTTTAAAAATGTGATATGAAAAAATGATAATAAAAAATACCAATAATAGTTATAAATTTAGTGTTACGTATGAAGTGAATGAGTGAGTGTGTGAATAGGTGAGTTTGCGCATGTATTTGAGAATGTAGCTGAAAGTTGTTATGATCGTGCACTGTGTCTGTGTTTATGAAACCTCAAAGTCATACCAAGATATGTAGTAATGCCTCTGTGGATTCGAAATCCAATTTGGCTAGTGTAGTTTCTATGTGACTTGCTAATTTATATCTGGATAGTTTTACGATCTCAGAGTCCATAGATTTGGAGATTTTGTTATAAAGGAAGGGGCCCCTAAATGCAAAGGAGCGTTGTCCAAATACAGTCCTTCGTTTTGGCGTTGGGAATGCAAAACGTCTGTTCTTAGATGTGTCCTGAATTGTGAGCCCATGGAATCTATGATATCTTGAACAGGTCGCCAAGATGTAAAGCTTCCTTACCGAGAGGGTTTTTGTTTCTAGGTGGAGTTTGACTGTGGGGTATCTAAAAGGCCTGCGATAGGCAACTTTAAGGATTGCTCTCTGTGCACGTTCCAACTTAAGCAATAGAGATTCAGCCGCTCCTCCCCATGCCGATATACAGTATGTGAGAATGGACTGACAAAGTGCAATGGAATGAATTGATAGAAGTAATATTTTTTTATATCTGTGGGTAGTTTATTATACAGCTGTGCGCCTTCGTAGGTAAACGTTTTTTTGACATTCGTACGTACTTTAGGTAATGCAAGATAACTCGTTCGACGCATTCTATGCAAGTAGAAATAATATATGATTTAAATAATCATTTACGTTAGAATAAGCTTTACCAGCTTTCTTTCATCGTGTTTTATTATTTACTAGCATGCCAATGCGCGGCGGCGGCAGCGGTTTCTTTACATCTAGGGTAACATTATTGTAGTTTTAATATGGATACTAATTTTTTTCTTGCAATTAAAATAGCTTATCAGTGTAGCATTCATTTGGTGAAAGAATTTTTAAAATCGGTCTAGTAAGCCAATTCGTTACAAACATAATTACATACAAATCTTTCCTCTTTATAATATTAAGTATAGATTGACAACAGCTATACTGACGATGGCATTTAACCAAGGATTAGAGAGTTGAACCTATTAAGCCAGTGGACCGTTGAACTGTAAACAGTGTTTAATTAAATATATCCTGCACAACACTTTTTATCAAAATAGTTATTTATCGAACTAATTATATGATTTATAATAAGTATTATATTTTCTTAAAGCTACTGACCACCAATTTAATATATACATATAGGCTATAACCTAACCTTTTTATTGATACATTTGCGAATTGTTGATATGTACACAGGGACCAAGGTCAAAGGTGTGTTGCCGGCTTTTGAGGGAAAGTAAAGTGAGTATGCTGTTTTCTTGATGCTCTAAGTCGTATCGGTACAGAACTACCACAACATTTTTATAAGTTTACTAGCTGATCCGGCAAACGTTGTTTTGCCATGATAATCATTTATAATAAAAAATAGGGGTTGGTCGTAGAGGGGTGAAAATTAGGGGTTGTACTTATGTATTCTTTAATGTTGTATCATAAAAAAAATAAAAAATAAAAATTTATCTAAAAATTAAAAAACAATATTACGGGTGGACTACCCTTAACATTTAGCGGGATGAAAAATAGATGTTGTCCGATTCTCAGACATACCCAATATGCACACAAAATTTCATGAGAATCGGTCTAGCCGTTTCGGAGGAGTTTAACTACAAACACCGCGACACGA